CGTGAACGTAAAAAACCAAAAAAGGCTAAGGTGAAGGCTGCCCAGAGCATAATGTAATTAAGGTCACAACCCAAGTGCGGTTGGTAAGAGTTGAAGATAGACTGCAGGATTTGGATTGTAATTGGGTAACGATCTAATTTGACTGGGGTTTGGGAACGTTTGATCCCATTAAGGACCTTCTGGAGTCTAAACATTTTTGGGAGCTTTAAGGGGAAATTGTATTGCCTATGGAGGTCTTGAACGGCAAAAAGGTATAGCTTAATGGTATTGTAGGAAACGGTTTTGGCTAAATGGGAGACAAAATAAATCAGGGTAATTTCAGATGCGGGGAGAAGGGGCGTAGAGGGGCTAATTAACCCTTGCATAAGGCAGAAGGAAATGAAATGGTTTTGACCGACACTATAAGAACGGTTGGTGGCTGGGGCAAGGGACGCACCAAAGTAGCGATAAACAGAAACTGTTAAATTGATGTCGCTGATGGAGGGATGACGCAGGGGGAGGGTGAGGCGTTGGGAGCCAGGTGACGGAAGCGGTCCATCTGAAAACGGGACAAAGAATCAGCTATTGAATCATCTAATCCAGGGATATGTCTAGCAGTAAACGAAAAGTTGTGTTCTAAGGTAAGAAGAGAAGCTTAAACTTATAATTAAATTTACAAAATGTACATTTAACATGTCTTTGGCAAACACAAACTTTTGATAGTTTCTCTTTTTACGAAAGGAACTTTTCAACCACAGGCCTTTGTGTTGAGTTAACATTGAAGTGTTGGAGCCCACTATCTTCGATGTTGTTATTCTCTGACTCAGAGATTGTTTTTGTGATGCATCAAGGCTGTGCTCTAACGGCGCCCGGTCGCCTGAGGCAACTAACATTGCGCTTTGGGTGACTGAAAAAAAGTTCCCAGTCGCCCGTCCGCGCACTCTTGCTTCTGATGCAGTGTTCAGTTAATTGGGCAGAAAAATTTAACATACTAGTGTTTGGTTGTTGAGTCTGAGTTTACTAAACCCTACAGAAAATGCCTTTATGAATGTTGTACAAAAGAAACGGGTGTGCATCTATGTTCACTCTGCATGATTTCACATGTAACATAATCCATCACTTTGAACGTGACAAGCGGCACGGATTTCGATTTGTACCACTTCTTAAAGTACTTTTAAAATTTTTCGTTTCAGATAGAATGGTTCATTAAGTACAGTTTTTAGGAGAAACTGTCAATACTTTTCTGACATATGCAGAGCGCAGCTGGCGAGGTGGAGTAATTATTTTTGTATAAAATGGAAGTTGCTGCATTGACCAATATGCAAATGTAATGTTTTTACGGTTTTTGGCTGCTGTGTCTGCTTGGCTAAAACATAACTTATGATTTTTCTCTTCCCTTTACATAAGATAACGAAATATACAAAGAAAATATATGATTGTCCTGATTGTTTTTGTTTTTTTAGAAACAGTGCAGTTCCACGTTGTCTTGGCATTTTACGTATCGAAAACTAAACTCGCATGCATGCACATATAGGCTAAATTTAGCGGCCAAAAAAATAATAATAATAAAAACACGGAAAGAAGAGCTGGTTCACGCTTTGACTGTATCCACGAAAAGCTCAATTATCCTAAAAGATTCACCAATAATATAGAAAACAAAATTAAAGAAGACTTATTTTTTATTAAAACAATAGGTTTGGGGCCGCGGCAGTTTCACTGTTTCACGGAATTTTTCACAGGAATTTGAGTTCGATCTACCACATATAAAACTCTGTTACATTATATTTCATGCGGCATTGATTCACCTTTTGAAAATTGATTTTCAAGTCTAGTATTACTGGTAAAAAGCACAGTTTTCCTATGTTTGACCCAACGATCTTAATGAAGTTTGCGTAGACCTGCTGAATTTTTTTGCTTTTCCCTCTTTGAAACCTAAGCAATTCAGCGGCATTGCTCACGTTTCTGGTTTTAAATCTGAATGGCACGAAAACTTTGATGGGTTTCATAAGAAAACATGTGGGTTTTTGTCGAACCCAAAAGCTAAAAATATCGAGTTTGGTGATCAGCAGGGCAGTAAGATTCGTGTGCATACAAAATACTTCCCCATCAGATGTACGTCAGCGACCAACTTGAGAGGCCTGGGCACCCCAGCTGGAATGCTTGGGAGCCCGTAGGGCTCCCTGAAATTTTTATTTGGGTGACCAACTTTGAGGTCAGGGCGCCTTAAATAAAATGCTTGGGAGCCCAAAGGGCTCCCTGAAATTTTCCTTAGAGCACAGCCTTGTGCACCATAGCAAAAAAAGGAACGTAACTTTTTTCTTTTGAAAATAAAAATCTTGTAGAAACGTGTCAGAAACTGGTTAGAACAAAAACTGCATATAAGGAAAAAAAAAAAGCTTTGAGGTTCTTGCTGCCGTGACTTGAATTGGTGACATGAGTCTTCCTCTCATTTCATGTTGTCCACTGATCCGAAATTTAAGATAATGAAAGACTGTTGTCTTCTGCTCTGTAACTGTTGGGTTGGAAAATCTCAACAAATATTCTTCGAGCAGATGATTGTAAATATCCAGGGGAGCATCGTATCTATCCCCATGAACTTCCTTGTGTAAAGTTGCTCTGCCATTCAAGAAAAACATGCGCATAAAGAGGTGCATGCTTTATAAAAACACACCAGAGGTCTTGGGTTTTTGAAGAAGTGAACATTTGGCAACTTAAACCGGTAAAAACAGCATCTTTGAGAGGATCATTAAGACCCAAGTCTATTTTGGTTACTAGAACATCACCATCACATACTGTGTTTCTTAAATTCACGTTATTTAACTTTCCTAAATTATGTGTGTACAAACACTAGTTATTGGTAAAAACAAAATGTTACAACTACAGTTAAAACACAGAAAAAATTATATGACATCAGTTTGGTTTTCACAGCTCTATTATTAGATAACTACAGAGGCACAGAAGTGTGTGAGGTCTGTGATCATGCAAAGCATTTTGCTCAGCATTTGAGTCTGTCATTTGATCTTGTGGATCATTTTGTTTGTACCTTTCACATTGTTTCTATCGTCTGCTATCGTTTGTCAATTTCCATTGTTTCTATCGTTTGACGACCCAATAGTTCGTATGGTTCGTTCCATCGATTCATGCAAAAGAAGAAAGAACCATCCGTGGTTTTAGTCACCTGGAACTCATGTCAGCATCATGTAGCCGAATCCGAGAGTTAATTTACGGTTAGACACACGGGCACGAAGCCGAGAGATATAAACATGGGTTTTGTCATTATTCGAGCCCGAAAAAAAGGAATTCACATGGAAAGCGCTTTTTAGAGATTTCGGAACTGAGATGACTTAGGTTGGCCGACCGACTGCTTTTTGACAGTCAGCCGACAGATTTTTGGGGAGCTGTTCTTCAATTTTTCCCAACACTCGGACTTGGTGTTTGATTACTAAATAAAACCCTATTTACACGCACTAAAAAATCAGCACGGCAAGCCAAATTTTTGGCACTGTGCTGACAATTTTAAGGCATGGCACTCCCAATTTTTGACGTGCAAACGTAACGGTCCCAAATGTAATATTGCACCAGTGCTTAAAATTTTAGAGGTCCCGAGACTTTAGTCTGGGCACAGGTAAACGAGCCACGTCGCCAAAAATTGGCGTGCTGTGCCGATGTTTTAGCCATTACACGGATTCTTTAATAGATTGTCTGAGTGGTTTGTTCGCAAAAACGAAAAACTAAGGGATTTGTGGTGCTTTGTTACGCGAATTCTACTTTAATGTAGAGGACAAAAACCATACCCTGTCCAGTGGCACATCCCTGTATGGGCCATATAAGGGAGTATCCCCCCCCCTCCGCGTCGGGCCCTAGAACGTCTGTGCAGGAGACTGATGTCTAATAAAACGAAATTGCTAGGCTGTAGTCAAACTTCACTGATACTCAAAGAGTCATCTGTTTTTCTTACTTTTCTGCGAGTAGAAGAAATATACACATCGTTTATCTATGAAGGTTTATCAAAGAGACAGACCATTAGAAATAACAAGAGGTGGCGAAGGGAGAATGAATAATATTGCTAAGGAAATTGGCCAAAAAAGTGCAAATATCCTGTAAGCAGTTGTGAGTTTCTGAAACCTCAGAAAAAAAATCCGGCAAGCAAGTTGGCCTTTAAAAAATATTCCTGCAACGTTTATTTCTTACACCCCTTCCAATAATTTCTAATGGTCCGTCTCTACTGCCAAGGCTTCAACACTGATTTTACAGATTAAAAACACAGTACGTTACACTTTTTTCCAGGAAACAATTTTCTCACACATTTCTGTCCAGCTGACACAACCAAAATGACTGAGAAAGATGTACTTAAAATGGTTCGGAAGTTTTGAATTCTTACTGTAGAAATGTGGCTGTCAGCCCTATCACCCTAAACTACTAACAAGGGATTTTAGTCAGTCACTCGGTGGGATTGACCACTATACCAAACACTAAAACCCATCAAGTGAATCTAAAATGTCAAGATGCTCTGAGTCGAAAAGTTTAAAGAGCTTTGAACTATCTACAAAACATTCCTGTAAATCCGAACATAAAGCAGACCGTTGCTGCATATACATAGGCGATTTTGCCAGAAACCAATTTAAAAAGCACATTTCGGGGTACTGATGAGCAGTTTGCTCGTTCATAACAGTTACCACGTAATACCTTTGCCCCAGCTGGATAGCACGCACCCCAGTCATCCTTCACCGGATTTTTTATGATTTCGGGTTGTTCAGAAACAACTTTCAGCAAGTAGTAATCATCAGATGCATCTGCTGAGGCAATTGCAACTGTTGAATTCTTGGAGATAAATCTAAGATACTTTCTCTAAAGTCAGTAACGCCAGCTCGAGTAGCTCTCCAGTTCGTGTCTTCTGCCTCTAAAACCTGGCTTTCCCATTTCTTTACATGTGCAGTATTTACGCACTGCTCATAGTTTTCATGGATGCAGTTGTCACAGTAGCATGACAAGTCTCGCACTTCAAGTTGTCCACCCTGACCTCACGCAAGAATGCTGTGAATGGCCTGATTTCCTTTTATTTCTTTAAAATGACGGCGAGGCCTATTTCCATTGGAGGCTTCAATGTAAAAGAAGACTCTACGACTTAAACTTCCGCCGAAAACAGGAGTCAGCATATTACGTTGCGCAAAACTATAAAGATCATGTGCATTTTGAATAACTTGCTGCCTCCAGATCACTACCATGTCTGCCTTTGATTTAAGATTTGCGCCAGCGCCCTCTGGCGGGTCTTTCGTGTGCAACGTTTCGAAGTAATTCTGAATTGTCGGGTAGCCCAAGTTAGCAACAGAATAACTGACATCTTCCATGCAGTGCCTGCTTTTATACTGAGCTGAACAACCATCTGTCCATTCAGGCAAGAATTTTACATCGTAATTAATACTCTGTAAATAATGTGCCACCAAAATTCTTTAGTGCTGGACCGAATGGTAGTCATGCTTAAAGTCCGGGGAGATGACAAAAAGATGCTCTGTCACTATCCCCGATCTGTTCTCACTGTCAATTTCTTTAAGCAGGTGCCAATGTAGGACAGTGACGTGGATGGATGCCTGTATTTGGCTGAAATACATTGATTAGGGCTGTTGCTGACATGCATAGTTTTCAGAATAATCATGGACACAACACACGTGGCCGAGGGGAAGATTCTCAATCACACATTTCATTTGGTCATGTTGCCATTTGGTACGCCTCTGGTGTGATGGGAATGTTAGAAGTAAATTCTTGAAATAATCAAACATTCCTCCCGGAGGGGTGCACTTGACAACCAACTGCAAATGCCTCTTTTTGTTTGTGGTTACATATTCGAACCGCTGCAATGTAACGTTAACACTAGACTCCTCGTTCTTTTCTTCTGAATTTGCTTTTCATGCTAACAGTATTCGTTTGGCCTGATGCGTTCACAAGTAGTGTCCTTCTTGTTTCCGGTCGGTCTAGAAACTCCCGGACTGGCCCAACAGTCATAAGCGAGTTTAATATGTTCCTCTGATATCGCATCATTTCTTTTCTTTCGTGAAACCAGCGACCAGCCAACAGATTTATGGTTCGTCACTTGTACTTGGTTACTAACGCTCCTTGAAATACGATGCCTATTAATTCCAAGAGTTCTAGAGACTGCTGATTGTAACCGTTTTTCGTTGACCATATTCCTGCAAAGGAGATATATGGCCATTTGAACTGCAGCTCTACTATCATTAGCTGTACCTTCCTTCACTTCAGAAATCAAAGAGCCTGCGTCTTTCACTACTGCATCATGCAGTTCTAACTTTCTTCGCTGCTCCAGTGAACATATCGTGCCATTTCTGACAAGGGCATCGTACACAGTTGAACTGTTCAAAACTGACAATACAACTTCTATTTGTACTCTGGGGTTACTGGAAATGCCTCTTTAACTTTATCGACTGCTCATTTCTTCACCACAATTGCTAAACGTGCTTTCTTCATTTTCGTCCGGATTACCTCTCAGCTCTTGAAGTTTTTCTTCTCTCTTTCGTTCTCATTTAACTCTTTCTCTTACTTGCTCTCGCTTTCGTTCTTTCCACTCCTTTAATCGTCCCACTCCACTTTTTTTCATGACTGAAAATTTTCAGTATGAAGCGCGCACTCATGCAGTTAATGCTTAACACGATATGAACGCTTCAATCGTTTGACCTTCTATTTTTGACTCTGAAGGAACCAAATTTTATTTAAGAAAGTTCTGAACAACAACAAAGCAAAAACCAAAGTGACATATAATTACACCCATAAGAAACAACTCAAACTAGAACGTATTTGCAAACTATTTATCCCAATCACTTAAAAATCTGATTTTTGGGGAGATATTTGCAATGTTCATAGTGTTTGTATCATTTTGTTGCGCACTCTTTCAGTGAACACTTAAGCCGCTATGAATGTGCGAACGTTTGAATTGCTATTTTTGTCTCTAAAC